ATTTTTCATCCTCTCTTTCAGGAGTTTATCCAGTTGTTCCATTTTGTCCTGAACACTTCCACCTGGGAGGCAACAGACCACATGGCATTCACAAGCTCACCTGCAAACTAGACTGTCTATCCCCCCAGCTACAGAATCACCCACTAACACAACCTTTCCAATCTGCCAACTAGCCTCTCCCTCTTTTCCCAGAGTAGCCTCAGGTATCATGGTACTGTGGATTTCCCTTGAATCATCCACCCATAACTCAGTTGTGATGCTCATTAAAAAGGCATCTACAATTTTTTACCTTTTAGGCAGCTCCCGGATGCCCTGGGTTTCTTGGACATACTGTCTCCATTCCTTTCAATGAATGGTCACCAACTCTCATGTCATCCCTACACTCCTCCTTGCCTGCCTATCATGTTGGGGAGTGGACACTCTCTAGTAAGCCTGTTCCAGAAATTTCTCTCCTTCTTGTATGGTGCATAGTGAGGAGATTCGCTGCTCCAAATCAGCCACTTAAAAACTGTTACCCTCCGGCACTTCAGGCAGATATGACCATTCTGATTGTACTGCGGATCCAAAACCTCCCACGTTTTACACACACATCACAAGGTTTCCCTGAGTCCTTGCCATCTTTACTGGTCAAGCTGATGCACACTGCTGAGGTTCTGCTGTTTCTAAGCCAAAAACAAATTTTCTAACAGCACCTCTCTCTCTATTTCTCCTTCAATGAGGAGGGAAGGAAACATGACAGTAATGTAATGTTTGGGGCTTCTCGTTCTTTGGCACTGGATCATCTACCCAGTTGCTCGGGTCCTAGGGAAGTGTTTAACCCAAGAGTGTACAAGTGAAGACTCCTTTTACAGCATAGAGGAATATATGAATATTGAAAGAATTGTGGATGCTGTAAATTAGAAATAAAAATAGAAATTGCTGGAAAAACTCAGCAGGTCTGGCAGCATCTGTGGTGAGAAATCAGAGTTAACGTTTTGGGTCAAGTGACCCATCAGTTCTGAGGAAATATTGCTCGACCTAAAACATTAACTCTGATTTCTCTCCACAGATGCTGCCAGGCTTGCTGAGTTTTTCTAGCAATTTCTATCGTTATTAGAGGAATATATGCCTTAGGAGAAATAATATGTCATTCAGCCTTTCTGCTTTGTCATTTGATAAGAATGTGGTTTGTCTGCTTGTGAGTTTAACTCCACTTTCCTGTTCACATGTATAACCCTTGACTCCTTTATCAATCAAAAATCTATCCAAAGCTACTTTGGATAAACTCAATGACCCAACCTCTGTTGCTTTATGATGACAATTCCACAGACTAACAACCTGCTGAGTTTAAAAAAATACTCTTTATCTCAGTCTCAAAAGGCAGACTTTTTAGTTTTAAACCACGTCCCCTAGTTAGCACTGTTTAGCACTGCTGCGTCACAGTTCCAGGGACCTGGGTTCAATTCCAGCCTTGGGAACTGTCTATATGGAAGTTGCATGTTCTCCCACATCTGCACGCTCAAGTTTCCTCCCACAGTCGGAAGATGTGTACGCTCGGTGGACTGGCCAAGATAAATTGTCCGTAGTGTCCAGATGTTCAGGCTAGGTGGATTAGCCATAGTAAATGTGGGGTTATGGGGATAGGGTAGGGGTCTGGCTCAGGATGGGATGCTCTTCAAAGGGCCTATGTAGACTTAATGGGCTGATTGGCCTCTTTCCACACTATAGGGATTCTATGATTCTATATTTCTAGCCTCCCTCACCTCTTGATATTTACCCTTTAACATCTTCTCAGGAGCGTATGTTTCAATAAGTTCATCGTATGTTTCATTCTTCTAAACTCCAACAGACTGAAGGGTCACTGGGCCTGAAACTTTAATTCTGTTTCTCGCTCTACGGATGCTCCCAAACCTGCTGAGTTTCTCCAGCAATTTCTGCATTTGTTCCAATGGGCTTTCTTCATAAATTAAGCTCTTCATCCCAATAATTGGTCAAGTGAATCTTCTCTGAAATTCTTCTAACACAGTTATATGCTTTATTAAGACAAATAAAAATAAATATTCGTTAAATATGTGAAACTGTTACCTAATAGTCTGGGTGGAGGGAAATTACAGAATAAGGGAACAACAGTACTTTGTCACAAACAGAAAGTTTATAGGTTTGTTATGTTTTGTCACTGTCTTTTTAATTAGAATAAAATGGAGGAATGAGAGATGTCTTGTTGCCAGTTTTGAATTCTGCCTAACAACAAGGTTGAATGGTTTAGTTGCTAGATGTTGAGAGGGAGCTCAGGTTTTCTTACTGGCAAGAAGGTGTGAGATATTTACACATGCAAGCAATCACCAGATCCTCTCTGCTGATGGTGGATTGATTTTTTTGGGGTCTAAGTCCCGAGGATGGTTTGGAATGTCAGACTGTATTTTAAACAGTCTATTCAATTCCAAGGCATTACGACTTTGGGAGTCTAGAGGAAAGGTAATTAACATAATGCGCACACCCTTCATGTTGCATGGAGGTAGGCTTTGAGAGGGGAAGAGACAACAGCAAGCCATTTGTAGGACAGGGTTGAGTGTTATCCTTAGCCCTGTGCCAGGCTTGTCCTCTTCGTCTGCATGGTTTTTTCCCTTTTTCCTTCTTCCTCTTTTTTTTCCTGAAACTTCTCTTCGGTAGGAGGCTGCTTTGATGGCTTCTGGATTGGCAGCGGCATCTTTAGAAGCAGAATGGCTACAGAATCGGTCAGTCAACCTGTCAAGCCTAGAGTGGGACTCTCGCTTCTGCGTGGAGTGGGCCCCTGGTGACACAGCCCAGCATGGGGCTCTGCCAGCGGCATGCCATAGCAGCAGAGGAGGAAAAGTCGGACTCTCTTTCAGCTTTTTAAAAATTTTATTCTAAGTTAACGTGAATGTCGCCTATGTATCACAATGGTTTACAATTTCACTGTATTTTATATTGAATACACATGACATTCTAAAATGTCATTGTAGTTCACAGATCGGGTCAATCTGCAAGCATCTGGAAGAGAGAGATAGAGGGAACGAGTTTCTGGTGTTCTTGTGGATAGGAACGCATGCTCAGATTGAATAGAACACATTTGTGAAGTCTCAAACAAGGCTGGAATATTTGCCTCGTATTGGCGATGAGGGGAGGAATCTCGGGGATAAGCCTGACCTTGAAAATCAATTTCAGATTAGCAGCTACACACCTGGAAAAGGACAGAGCAAACTGTCGGGAGTTGAAAATAGGTCAGGATTGGCTCCTAGAGAATGAAGAGACCACTTAAGAGACAGTATAAAATATAACTGTGGAGGGGGATTTTCTCTTGTTCCAGAATTTAGACAAATATTTATTTTTTGTGTTTAAAGGATATTACCCACTAAATAGTGTTTTAAAAAGTTGCAGTTTCAAGCATTTGAAAATATTTCTTACCTGCGCTTTCAGAAATTTACTACACTTTCAAAAGTCATTTGATAACAATTTGGATTTCAGAGGATGTTCAGTAAAAGTATAGTGCTCAATACGTAAAATGATTTAACATGGTCCTTTTAAAAATGAGGAATAAGATGTCGGGTTGAAAGCTGAAGCATTTTTGCCTTTCACCCGTGTTTGTCTGGGAATCATGTAGCTTAATGTTGACATTGGACTCATACCTCTGGTAAGCTGATCATAGAATCTGTTTACACCAGGAAATGGAATGATAATAGACTTCCAGCAGTCTCCTCTGATGTAAAGGACTTTGCAACTAATCCACAGCTGTAGGCAAATTCTTTAAATAATCAGTAATTTCAATTAACACTGTAATTTATTAATCCAATACTTCAACAGATGGTGGCTCTTAATTGTTATTTCTGTTTTCAAGTACTGGTGATGGAGTTGTGAGAGAGTATTGGGAACATACTGGTCATGTTACTTGACTAGTAATTCAAGCTAATGCTCTGGGAGCCTGGGTTCAAACCCACTACAGCAGCTGGAATATAACGTTATTTCTGAAATGATGTCTATAATGACGATCAAAAACAAAGTTGCTGGAAAAGCTCAGCAGGTCTGGTAATATCTGTGGAGGAGAAAACAGAGTTAACGTTTAGGGTCCGGTGACCCTTCCTCAGAACCGGACCCGAAACGTTAACTCTGTTTTCTCCTCCACAGATGCTGCCAGACCTGCTGAGCTTTTCCAGCAACTTTGTTTTTGTTCCTGATTTACAGCATCCATAGTTCTTTTGGTTTTTATTTTCTATAATAACCATCATTGATTATTGTTAAAAACCCATCTGATCCACTAATGTCCATGAGAGAAGAAAATCTGCCTTACCTAGTCCTTACCTAGTCTGGCCTACATGTGACTCCAGACCCCTAGTAACATGGTTGACTCTTGAATGCTGCTCAGGGACTACTAGAGATGGCAACAAATGTTTGCCTTGTCAGCAATACCCATGTTCCATAAAAGAATAAATGAAAGAGAATTATGAGTTCTTTAAAGGCTGTGATTTGGCTGGCCATCGTCAAACGTATTTGCAATTACATAACTATTTAAGTGAATGGAACCATGCATGCTAAATTAGCAAATGTTTTTGGGTGTTGAGTGTTTAAAAACATTAGTGCCATTATCCAGATTATAGTATTTCAAATATTCTCTGCATTTTTAATAACAATTCTACTTGATGTTCCCCTGTGTAATGCCATCAGTTGCTAGAATATAGGAAGAAATGACTGACTTATATTGATGAGCTGCTGGTCTTGGCTGTGTTGCAAAAAACACCAAGCAGATATCACAAAGGAGAGCAATCAGACTGACAGTGTAGCCCTCGGCATGCCTCTACCTTGCAGTATAAATGTCAGAGGTTGGAGCACATATCTTGCAATTCTCAACTACAATGTGGTGCGTTGCATGTGGACATCTACAACAGGAGGATGAAATAAAGAAGTGAAGGAAAAAAATCTTTTTTTTTAAAGAAGTACAACTGAAGGTAAAACACTGAGAAGATCAAACGCAAGAGCTTAGCTGAATATCAGAGCAAATGCAATACCCGTTGTTCTTGAGTGGAAACAAACGTTTGGAATCCTGGTGCGACTCCAAATCCCAGCTCATGTACAAATGGTGGCTCAGACTGAGTGTGCAGCTGTACACGTATCCCAGCTTCAAATGTGGTGTCTTCTGTAAGAGAGAGAGGAAACAATTGAAAATACTCAACAATAAAAGAAGCTTGATCAAAACAGGGTCTTACAACAGACAACTGTGAATCCATAAAGTAATTAATGGCACCCAGCCTCTCCACAACAATTTTGCCAACATTAGCAAAGATATTTCTTGCTGTTCATCTCTGAACACAAATACATATGCATCTTCATGAAAGAGATTTAAACAACAGACAGGAGGAGGAGGAGGTTCAATGAAAATCTGCCTCCTCAATGATACTGGGGCCCACTGCATGGGTGCAAAAGATAAAGCTGATGTAGTTGTTAACATCGTTTGCCATAAATGCCAACCCAGTGATTAATCTCAGCCTCCTCCAGCTGCCAACCTTCAGCTATTTCAATTCACTCCACGATTTCAAGAAATGACTGAGAAGATCGAAGATCAAGATGACATTTCAGCTATCCCACTGAAGGACTGTGCTCCAGAATAGGCTGTGCTTTTATCCAAGCAGTTCTAGTACAGCTACACCATCAGCTTTTACCCAATAAAATGGAAAATGGCCTATTTATGTACTGACAGCAACAAAAAAGTGAAAATCCAAACGGCTAGTTATTTCTTTTTTTTTCTATTCATTTTGTGGGATGTGGGCATCGCTGGCTCGTCAGCATTTATTGCCCATCCCTAGTTGCCCTTGAGAAGATGGTGGTGAGCTGCCTTCTTGGGCCGCTGCATTCCTCCTGCTGTGGGTTGACCCACAATGCTATTAGGGAGGGAATTCCAAGATTTTGACCCAGCGACAGCGAAGGAACGGCGATATATTTCCAAGTCAGGATGGTGAGTGACTTGGAGAGGAACTTGGAGGTGGTGGTGTTCCCATATATCTGCTACCCTGTCCTTCTAGATGGAAGTGGTCGTGGGTTTGCAAGGTGCTGTCTGAGGATCTTTGGTGAATTTCTGCAGTGCATCTTGTAGATAGTACATACTGCTGCTACTGAGCAATGGTGGTGGAAGGAGTGGATGCTTGTGGATGTAGTGCCAATCAAGCGGCTGCTTTGTCCTGGATGGTGTCAAGCTTCTTGAGTGTTGTTGGGGCTGCAGTCATCCAGGCAAGTGCGGAGTATTTCATCACACTCCTGACTTGTGCCTTGTAGATGGTGGACAGGTTTTGAGGAGTCAGGAGGTGAGTTCAAATCAGTTTATTCTCAATCATCTGCAAGGTGATGGAAGGTTGCAAGTGGCACTTACTATAGTGATTGGAATGAGGTCAGCTAGGTAGACCTCATAGAATAGGAGTTCTCTGATTGGAGCTGTTAGTTTGGTCCAATGATAGAGCCCTGGATGACAGATATAAACAGGAGTGTCAGAGGTTCTGCTCACTGTGGGACCTGGCTCTGAGGGAACTGGATAAGAGAGATGTTACTTTGTACATGTAAATAAAGGGTGCTTGACGGGAAACTGGCCTCTGTGGAGTTATTTCAATGGCAACGAGAGGAAATTTGCTTGCAACAGTCGTCTTGGAGTTAGCATTTCTAGAATCAAGATGTTATTTGGGAAGCTTGACTCATTCGATCCTGCCATTGAAGACTGGGCTAAGTATGTGGAAAGAATGTGATATTTTTTCTGGGCAAATGACTTTGGGACAGATGAAAAGCAGCCAGTAATTCTCCTGACAGCTTGTGGACCCACACCTTTCTCAGTTATTAGGAGCCTAACTTTCCCTGAGGCACCAGATACTAAAACCTTTTAAGAGTTGGCAGATTTAGTTAAGGAATATTACGACCCCAAGTCTCCTCTAATTCTGAGACAATATCAGTTTTACTCGGCAATTTGAGAACCTGGGGAATCTGTATCGGGATTTTTGACTAGGTTAAATGACTGGCAGAGGCATGTGACTTTAACTCTTAATGAGATGCTAAGCGACTGTTTGGTATGTGGGGTTAATAATGTGACCATGCAAAAGCTCCTATTAGCTGAAACCCCCAGAAATGGCCCTGCATGGATAAGGAGTATGGTTGATGTGAGGTCAGGTCCAGTGATATATAAAGTTCCAGTAGGTGTGACGGTCCTGGACAAGTACTTGGACCATATGAAAGCTGTAATCTCGCAAACAGTGCAGGAGCAAAAGATGCCTAGGTCCTCAACAGCCTTTCCGACTGTTCTGGAACCTGTGGGTTCTCACTCTCCCTCAAGCATTGAAGGTACCTTGAATCTGAGATGACATGGCAATACCACTGCTTCGACACTTTCGCAGCTTGAAGAGGACAATTAATTTCTTACAAGATGCTCTGGGTGCAAGAAGAGAGCTACTGTGCATTACACACCGCCATTATCAGAAGCATCGTTAGAGGAACCTGGCCCAGTGCTAAAATGCCCCAGGAGGAGCTACAACAAAAAGAACCAACCTATGTCCTTGGACTCAGACAGGGAGTGATTCTAGCTAGGTCAGCCAGGTGGACATCATAGAATATGAGTTCTCTGATTGGGGCTGTTAACCTGGTCCAATCAGGGAGCCCTGGCTAACAGATATAAACAGGAGTGTCAGAGGTTCTGTTCACTCTGAGAGCTGGCTCCAATAGAGCTATATCAGTGTCAAGGACTCTCCCACATGTAAATAAACAGTGACTTGGTGATGGGATTCTGGCATCTGTGAGTTATTTCACTTACTTACTCATAACTTATTCTCAATACTCAGTTTGGGTCCCACCTAGTCCACTTGACACCGGACCACATTACAGCTTTTGTTCAAACTTTGTCAAACAAGCTGAATTCCAGACATGAGGTGAAAGTGACAGCCACTGAAATCAGGACAGCATTTGAATTGAGGTATCAAGAAGATTCTGCAAAATTGTTGTCAATAAGGAACAGGGGAAAACTACATTGCCACAAAAATTTTAGCTTGACCTTCCCTCTACCATAAGGTTTGAAGCAAAGATGTTTACTATGATTACACATTATTCAATTGCATTTGCAATTTCCCCAATAATGGCACAGCCCATAATCACAAGAAGCAAGATCTGGACCACATCAATGCTTGAGCTGGAAAGTGGCAAAGAATTGTCAACATATACTTGTCTAACAAGAGAAATAGAACCATCTTGGCATTCAAATGCATTACTGTCACGGAGTTTTCCACCAACAACATTCTCAAATTGATATTGACCAGAAATTTAGCTAAATACTGTGGCTATAAGGGTAGATCAGAGGCTATCACATCACTCATTCTTCAAAGCTTTTTCACCACTTACAAGCACAAGTCGAGAAACTCAATATCTTTCAGGACAATGCAGCTCATTTGATCATTCACTCTCTCCACTACTGATGCACAGTAGCTGCAATATGTATAACAAACACAATACATTGCTGCAACTTGTCAAGGTTCCTTTGACAGCACTTTCCAAACCTACCACATCTACCATCCAGAAGAGCAAATGCAGTAGATTCTTGAGAATAATGCCACCTTCAGTTTCTCCTTTAAGTTATACACTTCAGATGAAAATATATTAGGTTGTCAGTTCAAGTTGAAACTCCCACCCTCTTAATTTGTAGAAAATATATATGTTTACAATTAATGTGTAAATGTCTTTCTAAACCAGCTTGTTTCTGTTTTCACAAGTTCTCATTACCCAATATCTATTTGATTCAATTTCTTGTAAAAAGTAATTCACAACTCATTTAAAAAGATATCTCTACTCATTGACTTCTTCATTACAAAAGTCTTTCCAGAGAAGCAGTTTGGGAAGGTGCATTTTCTCAACTACTCATAGAAAGCATAAGGAATACAATGCTATTGTCACACCTGAGCTGAGATTCTTGTAAATGCCATTAAGAACATGCAAAGCTTCATGACATGCTTTGCCTATGTATTTAGAGTTACTCAATTGCAATGAATAATGTAACACATTTAATGGCCTACTTATATTATAGCAACAGCACAAGTAATGCTCTGTAATAATGCCTCTGGGTGCCACTGTTATGCTCCATTCATGTTGCAGGGAGACCTTTGCAACAGCCAGGACAATATTGCATACAAAACACACGAATCACAACATTGCGTTGAGGAATTGTACAATCTTGATGGGCATGACAAAGAAACACAGAAATAAGTGAGGAAAAAAGCTGATTGATTAGCTAATGCTGCGTTGCGCAGCCTGTTACTAAATGGGAAAGAAAAAGCTGTCCCCACATTTGACTGCAATGTATCTGTTCACACTGAAGGTGGCTCTGTTGCTGGGGGCACTCCAATGAAGACATCTTTTCCAATGGATTTTATAAAGGCTTCAGCAAAGCAAAGATGCAGATATCTTAAGTGCCATGTGTAATACTGACTTTTAACCTGTAACTTTTTTTTTATGTAGGTTCTCAGCTATCTGTGTATTCCACTGGCTTCTGATGAAGGCCCCTGAATAAAACTTAATGGCTGAGAAATTGGGTCACATAATACCTATTTCTCAGGCACCATGCAGCTGCAGAGTTATATCAGAGTTACAGTTCACTGAGTATTTGTTTGCCAGTTGTGCCACTTGTGTGTAGGACCCTGACATGTCCAGTGATGCAAATAAGCATGAAGCATCTGAAAATGTTTTGTGGAATTTTGCATGGATTAGTGTGACATATACCAATGTCAAATAATTGATCAAAGGTTTGGAATATGGGAATCAATAGTGCCAAGGAGAGAGGAAAATAGACTGATCACATTTTATAAAATATAGAATGAACTAGTGGTATCTTTGGTTACCTTTGGTCAGACAAACACAAGGGTGCCATCCAAACAAAAATAACCATATTACTGTCCAAAACAATATCCAAAACCTTTCTTCCGCAGTACAATCCCACAGTGAAACAAGTAAAGGAAATAGTCACAGTCCCACCACTTGAAATCTACAAGACACAATTTCAGATTATTTCTATTTCTAAGCTTTTATGTTCAGTAGGTCATGCCGGCTTTAGCTCGAACTACCACAGAAATAAAACAAAGTTCTGCGAATGCTGGACATGCTAAATAAAAACAGGAAGTGTGA